TGTGTGTGGTGTGTGTGTGTGTGTGTGTGTGTGTGTGTGTGTGTGTGTGTGTGTGTGTGTGTGTGTGTGTGTGTGTGTGTGTGTGTGTGTGTGTGTGTGTGTGTGTGTGTGTGTGTGTGTGTGTGTGTGTGTGTGTGTGTGTGTGTGTGTGTGTGTGTGTGTGTGTGTGTGTGTGTTGTGTGTGTGTGTGTGTGTGTGTGTGTGGTGTGTGTGTGTGTGTGTGTGTGTGTGTGTGTGTGTGTGTGTGTGTGTGTTAGTTTGCGTGTCGTATATATACATATATACACACAGGTACTTATATAATAGACTCCAGGTACTTAACGATCTGCACAGCTCCAAAGCCTACTTTCGGCCTCTCAAAATCCCCGCCGAAATAGGCTGGCACTTTCGAAGGCACCAAGGAAGCTTCTTCATCCGCGCTTTTCTGGAAGTGGAGGCACATCAGTCGGAAGACGTCTGCCATCAGGCTGACCAGGGCGCCCTCCTCCCACTTCTCCCCTCGCCTCCTCTTGTCCTCCAGCCGCCTGAAGAAGCAGTTCTTGAGGGCGAAGCCGGGTGGGGTGGCGATCTTCCACGGCCGGCAGTCCCACCAGCTGTACCTGTTCTTGACTTCGCGAGGCATCCAGCGCTCGGCCTTGAAAGTGTACAGGAGCGTCTTGCAGGTCATGTACACTCGCCGCTCTTCAGGGGAGAGGCCCTGCAGGACGACTGCCTCGGTCTCGGCGAAGGAAAACCTCCACAGAGAGTCGTCTATGTTGGTGATGCCCAGTGTCTCCTTGTCTGCCTGCGACGGGGTGAGGTACGGCTTGGGGAAGTCTGGCGGCCAAGGCGTGGCGATGACGGGGACCAGATCCACATTAATCAAGAGAAGGGGATATTCGGATCCCTGCCACGCCATCTGGATCGCCGCGCCCACCTGGGTCCTTGTCACCCCTGGCGGCACGAGGCTGAGGCGAGGATCACGAAAACGGTGGTGCTTCAGTGCTTCGTAGGTCAGGTTGTAGAAGGTGTTCTTCCAGACAGTGGCTTCGAGATTCTTCTCAAAGTCTGGATCTTCACTTTCCACTTTGATGCAAAGCTTATGTCCCTTCGCAATGGCCTTGAGCCTTGGGAATTCACAGATTTCTACCCTCACTTCCGGAAGATGCGAGATGACCAGATTGACATCGAATTCGTCGGGGGCGAAAAGGCGAGTGTTGTCTCGTGAGCTTCCAAGGAGTTTTAGGCTCCCGTTAAACATTGGGTTTTTCTCTGCCACCTTTCCCTTGATGATCTCAAGTTCGGCCATGACAGTGTCCTTTACCTCAGCCGCCTCACCGCTATCGAAATTCACCGAATCTTCTGCAGTCATTTCAATGAGTTTGGACAGCGTGAGAGAATGGAAGTGGTTCTGGAATACCATTAGTGGGTCGTTTGTGTCTGGAAGCTCATTTATTTCCCCAGACTTACGATATTTCTTCAAGTAAAGGCCGAAATTCCGACATATATCAGAAGGTGTTGTCCCTGCCTTGCAGATCAGCTTTTCGCTCAGCTGAAGTGACCACAGTTGTTTGTAGGCCACCGAGTAACCGAACATGGCCCCCAAGTGTGCAGGTGTGTGATCTCCAGTGTCCCTGCAGGTGAGGTCGGCTCCAAGATTCAGAAGCAAGGCCACCAGGTTCTTGTGGCCATAAGCGGCAGCCTGATGCAGCGCAGTTGTCCCCGTGATGGGATCAACCTCCTCGTTCACCGAAATGACCCCCTTCGTTATCAGAATAAACGGAAGCTGCACGAGGCCATGCTGGGATGCCACCAGCAGCGTCCTTCTCACGATGTCCTTCTCGTACATGGGTGTCTCAGACGGGGCGACGCCAGGGATCAGGTGCCTTTGGTACAGGTCGCGGTGGAGGGCCTGGATCTCCCGGAAAAGCGCTTTGTCTTCTTCGTCCTTTGTCTTCTCCTCCTGATGATTCAACATTCTTATTTCTTGTTCGTATACCATCTGTTTGAATAAGTCATGATTATTTTAAGAGGTCCTGATTTCTTGATAACAAAAGTAATTTTAAGCCAAGACCAAAATATATCAAGCTGGGATATACTATTTTTTCCTTCTGAATATAGAATCTGTAACCCCGTCTTTAGAGTTTCTTGTGACATATGTAAGAAAAAAATTTGCAATTCTTTATAACTGCTGATTAAAAGGTTCTAAATGCTACTCAGAATGAAAGAAATGGTGAAAGATGAATGTCAGTTTCATCAGAATTTCTTTGTATTTGTGTAATACAACGTATAATTCGCATATTTCCATGCAGCCCCAGTATCTGATCTACAAAAGAGACGATGAAGATAAACAAACTCACGCTTCTGGTTATAGGGTGCTCAAGAGTATGACTTTAATTATAGAACCGCGACTTGTCTAGGAATCCCTTGACTTACCTTTTCCAGCTCTTGTCTTTGGGAAGGAAAGAGCGAGTCCCGTGGGAGTTGGCCCGTGGTGTCCCTAATGTAAAGACTCGCCGTGGTCTTGGCCATGAAGTGAATGAGCCTCTGGTGTCCCTCCTGCACTGCCGCCGCCATGGGAGACATCCCGCTGCACACATCGTGCCCGTGGGCCAGCGCTCCCGCCTGCTGTAGGAAGAGGGCCGTCAGGGCACAGTTGGCTCGTGCAGCTTCGACCATGAGGCTGGTGAGGAGCTGCTGCTGCTGTGGCTTGCCCGAGGACTGGGCGGGCCAAGCTGCTTTCCACGGCGTCCGACTCCGCAAGGCGTCTAGCAGGAAATCGATGCCATCACGCAGCTCGGTGGCCTCGCAAAGCGTCTTTTCCTCCTGCAAGACATTCTCCATGTGCTGGAAAAGTTAAGGGTTACTTATTTAACCTTCCAGCTTTGTGAGTAATTGACTTGATCCATTTTCATACTGAAGTTCGTAAAGAAAAATAAAGGGATATATACCCTGGTGATGAGCATGCTGACCATAGCAGTTACATCAGGAGACAGCCATGCCACCTGCACTAGGTTGAGCCGGTGAAATGTGATGTTGACAGACGCCCCGGCAGCTAACAGAAGGCTGACAATCCTGGGCCTGTTGGATGTGATTGCGAGAACGAGGCTGTGGGTACTGTACTCCCCCGTGGGCTCCAGAGGGGCACCCGCCTTCACCAACGCAGATGCTTTCTTGACATCATCCCCAGTGCTGATTACACCTAGAAGCTCTCCATACAGCTCCTCTTGACTCTTTCCTGCCTAATAGGTGCGTCAACTTTAGTTCTGCTGCCTTTATCCATGACAGATGAGAAACATTTATGTATAGACCTTCCATCTTTGCTTCCAGACACACACAGTACTGACGCAACATACCTCATCTCGTTTCCTCGCTTGGATAAGAGCTTCTGCAACTTGGAGATGACCATTTTGGAGAGCCAGCTCGTCTGCCGTTTGGCCTCGGTGGGTGAGCACCCCAGGGTACACACCACACATTTCAATCAAGACCTCAGCTGTCTTTTGGTGTCCTAAAACGGCAGCCAGATGCAGGAGGGTGTGTCCACGGGAATCCTGGTAGTGGCCATCGCGGGTCCTGGGAATCACGTCCTTAAGGGTAATCCACTCCCCCGCACGCACATTTGAACTCAGGTTCGTGTGGTCGTATTCGTATACCTCTTGGCTGTCTGCCTGCAAGCATCGAAGAAGTTATTTTTGTAAGTTCACTATCAGTCATGAATGGTTAGATAGGTATTTTTTGAAGTATCAAAAATATATTCTTTGAAATATATCCTGCAGATGCAAAACTACAAATTTATACTTATGGATCTTTCGTAAAAACACGACTTCAGAGAGATATAGCATAAGAATCTGAATATCTCAACCCCACCGACAGTCATAATAAAGGGCTTCATTACATGCAATTTATTCCTGGATATTGATGCTGGATTGGAGTCTTGGCGCTTCAGGAACCACCAGCGGATGTCGTTCATGCCCCACACGTCGGCGCAGTTATCCGGCGTGTGTCCGTTCTCGTCTCGCGCGTCGGGATCCAGACCGTACTTGAGGAGCAGCTTGGCCGTGCTCTTGAGGCCCTGCATGGCCGCCATGTGGAGGGCCGTCATGCCCGTGGACGAGCGGGCATGGCGGTCACAGCCGGACTCGATCAGGAGAGTCACCAGGTGGTCGTGGCCATGTTGGGCGGCGGTGTGCAGGGGCGTGAATCTCCTGGGCGTGCAGACGTCGATGTTGGCGCCCGAAGCGAGCAGGGCGGCGATGCCAGCTTCATCGCCTCTGTACGCCGCCATATGCATGGGGCTGAAGGCTGGAAAAAAAATTATTTGTTCTGTCCGGAAATTGTGATGTCTGACCTTTAAGCTTACGGTTGTGTATTCACTTCTGTCTGTACAACTGAAAGTACAATATTGCACTCCTGCTGTATCAGATTTGCTAACTCTTCAAGCACAGTACAAACGAACTGAATCATGAACAATACGCCATGTATCAATATATCAATATAAAACATGATAAATATATTAGTGCAGTTAAAGTTCGGCCATAATTTTCAAATCTGAAAGCGATAAAGAAATTGAACAATGAAAAAATATGCAAAATTTATCTTTGTATAACTATGACAGATTTTTTTTTTTTTTTTTTTTTTATTAAGCCTCTCTCTGGAGTGAACTTAAGTGCACTTGAATCCTTATAAGAAAAGAAAGCTACACCATTCCATCTTACGCAACCAGCGGCAGAGAAACACATAGAAGAGCCCGGGGTCAAACATGCTAAGCCCAAAAGATATTACTCCACGAGAAGGAAGCCTCGTCTGCTCACCGAAACCTCCGGAGGACATGCAGTTGATGTCCGCGCCAGCCTTCGCCAGGAGGGGGATCATCCAGGACCCGCCATAGACAGCAGCGGCGTGGAGGGGCGTGTACCCGTACCCCTTTCCCCCGCCCGTTGACATCCACGCCCGCCCCTGTCAGGACCGGGATTAAGTGGGCGTGACCTTTCACAACGGCCTTCATAAGCAGACCTTCCGTTTGTCTGGGTCGGTCGTCAGGGGGACACAGGTACTCGCAGTCTGCCCCCTCCTGCAGCGCCGCCAGCACGGCCTCCTCGTCCCCCGCCTCGACAGCAGACGCCAGCCCTCTGGCAGGGTGGGGGGGGGGGGGGGGTGGCTGTGACGTCATTGATATCTTTATTCTTAATTAGGCATTGCTATTCCTGTCATGATCGCTGCTGTTATTATCAGTACCAAGTGCTATTATCACAACTACCCTTATCATTAATGATAATGTTAATGTTACTCTTCTTGAATTAATTACCATTCCTTCATAACTATTGCCTAATTATCCTTGTAATCATTACCAACCTCAGCCTGATAACAATACGACGAATTTCTTCATCCGACTCGCCAGCTCACAGAATCCACATGAAAATCAAGAAAGCAAAAAGCCACTTACTCTTGTTGCTTCAGACGCCGACATCCTGCGAAAGCTTCAGCCCGCCCTGTGGGGAACCTCTTGCTCCTTTGACAGATCTGGAGTAATATCAAAGCGTCTTAATTTTGCGTTCTTATGCGTCCCTTTGTTATCAGTTTGTTGCAACGGAACTGCGTCAGTCAGCGGGATCCGTTTGGTCTACATAGCTCATGCTTCATACCAAGTCATGTGACCAGCAGAAGAAGCAACAGGTCAGCAGCGCCTTGCTTACCGTTATATGTAAATAAAAAAAGGGAAATTTGACCTAACATTCTTTTCTTTCTTTATTTATTTTTTCCGAGTCGAACGTATTTTTTCTTTTCTTTTTCTTTAGCTGAGTTTTCGCAGGAAATAATTGCGTGTTAGTTAATTCGTCTTGCGATTTCTAGTAACACAAGGATGGCGTAGGCGACGAAGAAGCATCCTTCGCACAGAACGTTTTGGTCAAAATAATTTATTGCAGCTGTGTGTGTGCCAGATGCATACTGATAGTGATTGCAGATGTTCTTAAAATGAGCGTTAACTGGAGAGAATATCATAAAGGTGCATCTATATCGGATGCTTTACACAAGCGATATCTTGTCTGTTTAATAAACTGTTGCCTGCGCACGATACTTATACTTGATAGAGACGCTCGATTGAGAAATTGCAATGTTCGTTTCTGTTATTGCTGGCAGAGGCATTGTCATGGTTTCATTTGCATCAAGGAAGATAAAAAAAATGAGAAAATTGCTGATATATGGAAACAAAGAAAGAATATTTTGGGCTAGCACGTGAGTCGCGTGATATAGTCCTCCCTCCTCCCTCCTCCCTCTCCCCTCATCTCTCCTCTTTTCTTCCATTACTCTTTCTTTCTTTCTTTCCATACTCTCTCTCTCTCTCTCTCTCACTCTCTCTCTTTCTTCTCTTTCTCAATCTCTCCTCTCTTCTCCTCTCTCTCTCTCTCTCTCCTCTCTCCTCTCTCTCTCTCTCTCTCTCTCTCTCTCTCTCTCGTCTCTCTCTCTCTCCCTATCTCTCTCTCTCTCTCTCTCTCTCTCTCTCTCTCTCTCTCTCTCTCCTATCTCTCTCTCTCTTCTCTATCTATCTATCATCTATCTATCTATCTATCTATCTATCTATCTCTCTCTCTTGCATAGATTTTTCATAATCACTCTGGGATACGAATAAGCACATGACACGTGAGATCCTGCACCGTGTGGGACGCGGTTTAGGGAGGGGGGGGGGGAGACATCCGATCTTGAACTTTGGTGGTACTGCAATTATGCAATTAATAGATAGAAGATAGATAGATAAGATATAGATAGATAGATAGATAGAATAGATAGATAGATAGATAGATAGATAGATAGATAGATAGATAGATAGATAGAGTAGATAGATAGATAGATATAGATATATATACATACATACATTTTATATACATACGTGTGTGGGAGGGGGGGGCAGACACAAATCACGCAACTCTGTACATGATCACGCCCCTAGTCTGTTCTAGAATGTATAGGCTATCGCATATTATCATATTTATATCATCCAATGAATAGAAACATAATTTCTGGAAAAAAGCGGTTGAGAACCACACCCACACGATGGTCTCGCTCTCTCTCTCTCTCTCTCTCTCTCTCCCCTTTCTTCTTTCTCTCTTTCTCACATCTCTCTCTTCTCTCTCTCTCTCTCTCTCTCTCTCTCTCTCTCTCTCTCTCTCTCCTCTCCCTCTTCCCTCCCTCCCTCCCTTCCCTCTCTCTCTCTCTCCTCCTCTCCTCTCTCTCTTCTCTCCTTCTCTCTCTCTCTCTTCTCTCTTTCTCTCTTTCTTTTTTTTTTTGCCTGGACATCACCCTTTCTAGGAAAAAAAAATCTGAAAAAAAACGCCCCTGATGGAAATGACAACGTACCTGCAAGTTCCAGGGCGCAGAGATCAGGAACACACATGTTGCTAGGCACTAATAGGGTGTAACATGTGCTTGAACAGTAAGAGGTTTTCTGTGCACGGCGTCAAAGCGCTGTGATCGTAACGGGAAACAAAACTTTTTTCGGGTCAATACACGAGTAAGTTTGTGTTTTTGTAGGAAAGTGACATGGACAGGGTAAGGATGTTGCCCACAATGGGGAAACGGGATGATAAAAGGGTTCCTATATTCCAAAACAATTTTCCGGGTTTTTCGATCGTACGTTTGGCAGTGCTGGCTAGGATTCTCACTTCGCCTTTTCTCACTTGCATCGCCCACTCTCTCTTTCTTCTTCTCTCTCTCTCTCTCTCTCTCTTCTCTCTCTCTCTCTCTCTCTCTCTCTCTCTCTCTCTCTCTCTCTCTCTCTCTCCTCTCTCTCTCTCTCTCTCTCTCTACTACCTCTCATCTCTCATACCTCTCTCCTCTCTCTCTACATCTCTCTCTCTCCTCTCTCTCCTCTCTCTCTCTCTCTCTCTCTCTCTCTCCTCTCGTCTCTCTCTCTACCTCTCTCTTCTCTATCTCAATCTCCGTAATGACTATCTATCTTGTCTTCTATATCTATCTGTCTCTTTCTCTTTTGAATGAATGAAGTTATATATACATATATATATTTATATATATATATATATATATATATATATTATTATATATATATATATCAAAGCCCGCTGTCTATGATAGTCGCCCCGCCCCCCCACAGACACAAACTACTTTAGCCTTCAGAGCCAAACTCATCATAGCCTCTAAATTTCTCATAATCTTATATTCATATCATTTAAGAATTATTTTAGGACGTCTTAGGATCTGTATCAATGCTGACAGTATCATGATTTCTGGATCAATCTTTCTGATAAAAAGTGACGCCCGGAAACGATTTATGAATCTACAACTCGTCCTCTCTCTCTCTCTCTCTCCATCTCTCTCCATCTCCCTCACCTCTCTTCATCTCTCTCTCTCTCTCTCTCTCTCTCTCTCTCTCTCTCTCTCCATCTCTCTTCTCTCTCTTCTCTCTCTCTCTCTCTCTCTCTCTCTCTCTTCTCTCTCTCTCTCTCTCTCTCTCTCTCTCTCTCTCTCTCTCTCTCTCTCTCTCTCTCTCTCTCTCCTCTCTCTCCATCTCTCTCATCTCTCTCCCTCACCTCTCTTCATCTCTCTCTCTCTCTCTCTCTCTCTCTCTCTCTCTCTCTCTCTCTCTCTCTCTCTCTCTCTCTCTCTCTCTCTCTCTCTCTCTCTCTCTCTCTCTCTCCATCTGTCGCCTCTCTTCCTCTCTCTCTCTTCACTCTCCCTCTCCGTTTAAGCGCTTTACCCTTGTACAAGGAACAGACTGCTCATGTTGCCGTAGACAGCGTGCACGTGGAGTCAGACAGCATCTGTGTGGACACACGGTTTAGAACCACTTCGGTGTCTAGAGAGGGAAACGTTATTTGATGTTTAATGGATCGCAGAAAGTGCAGCATTTAGTACAAAGATATCATACTAAGCATATTAAAAGAGACTACAGCAGTAACCATAGACTGTGCCAAGGTTAGTAAACAGCGGCGCTATCTAGTGTATTGTAAAGTCCACGAAGTGAATGTCAAGGTGTCAGTTTCCCTTAAAGAACCATACTATGAAAAAAAAGTGTTATCAGCTGATTACGAATCTGACTGCAGGAACTGTGAAGGAAAATGTACTATTTAGAGAGTGTTTTAGACATCAGCTACGTTAATCCCATAAAGTCTGTAATGGACTTTCACGGTCTTTCCTTTGGTTTATTACCGCTATAAGGTCTCTTATCGACCAGGACACGTGAATAAGATGAGTATTAGGGCAAACCTATGATTGATATCTAACTGATGGCACTGGACATCGAAGGGAGCAAGGCCGTTTTGGAGAAATGTTTTGGCATTTTCTCTGGCTTTTTGCTGTCCTTTATCATTTCTTCTATTTTCAGGCTGCCTTGTGTGCTTCTGTACCTGTCTGTTTGTCTGTCTATTTGTTTTGGCTGTCTGTTTCTCTTTCTCTCTGTCTGTCTGTCTGTCTGTCTGTCTCTCTCTCTCTCTCTCTCTCTCTCTCTCTCTCTCTCTCTCTCTCTCTCTCTCTCTCTCTCTCTCTCTCTCTCTCTCTCTCTCTCTCTCTCTCTCTCTCTCTCTCTCTCTCTCTCTCTCTCTCCTCTCTCTCCCTTTCTCTCTCTCTCTACGTGTCAGCGTGTGCTTCGGACTTGACAATAACACATTCCTCTAGTTGCGCAGATCCTGTTACTCAAAGCTGTGCATAATTCACGAGGAAGATGACGTCACTGGCGTAATGGCATGACGTCAGAGCAGAACAGCAATCACACCACCAACCTACAAAGCGAAGTCGGATTGACGGATATCCTGCTGCATTTTCAGCATGTCTTGCGTTGCGCTCAGAGTTAAAGCGGTTGTGGTTGTTGTGATGGCAGAGATGGTTACCGTTACTGGCTGTGTGATTGCTGCGTCATAAGATGCAATTATAGATTTCTCAATGAGCTCAGTATTTCACTTAGAGGAATAAAACCTTTTCTTCAGCCATCGCCTGAACACATCCTGAGAGCGTTGTTTTCTTGTTCTTTTTATCATATGATTATACCGTAGATTTTATATATAATAATATATATATATATATATATATATATATATATATATATATATATACATATGTGTGTGTGTGTGTGTGTGTGTGTGTGTGTGTGTGTGTGTGTGTGTGTGTGTGTGCGTGCGTGCGTGTGTGTGAGTGTGTGTGTGTGTGTGTGTAAATATATACACACTCGTGTGTATATATATATATATATATATATATATATATATATATATATATATATATATATATATATGTATATGTATGTACATGTATATAAACATATATACTTATACATACATATATGTGTGTACACACATATATGTATGGATGGAAAAACACTGTCGTGCTGATACAATTGTAGAAAAAAACACAATGCACAAACTAGATTTATTGAAATAAATGAATCCTCTTTCTTCTTCAGGTCTGGGGGAGAAGGGGAGAGGAGGGAGTATAAGAGAGCGAAAGGAGAGGCAACCCGGTGAACAAGGGTCGTGTATGAGAGCGAAATCGAAGGAAAGGTCAGATTAGGTCGAAGGATCAGGCGTCTATGCGAAGGGTGGTCGCATACGGGAGAAGGTGGAGGGTGTGGGAAGCGAGGGGACTGTCAGCAGGAGAAAAGCCGAGAGCATGGCGAGGGGAGCCCAGTTTGGAGAAAGAACGAGAAAGCGATCTGTCCATCCAGGTATTGGGGGTCGCAGATGCGGAGAGCGCGGATAAACAGCGAGGTGGCAACCCCTCTTTTCTCATGGAGTGGTTTGGTACGAGAATTGTATGCAAATGCCACTGTGCATGGGTTTCCTGTATATGGAGAAGTGGTCAGCAGAGCGATGAACTAGTGTGTTTAAGAAGTGGAGCTCGTTGTCAGACTCCTATTCCTCCTTGGACCGGATGGAAGGAGAGAGAGAGAGTTCAGCTGCGACAGGAAATCAGGGAACAGGGCAGGGTCATGAGGCCGGAAACGGAAAACGTCAACATACCTCAGCCAAACCGAAGAACGAAGGGAGATGGGAGGGAGAAGCTCCGGCTCGAAGAACTTAATCAACAGGTTTGCTAGGCTTGAAGAGAGAGGAGAAAGATGGAAAATTTGATAATATTAATAAACGAAAATGGAAACTCAGATTTTACCGAAATAAGTTCCATGATTAACTCACACACATACATATATATGTGTGTGTGTTTGTCTGCATATATATCCAATATGCAGTTTATATCCTATATTTATTTTTTCTCGAAAAATCCTTACATTATTCTCAAAGTTGATAAGTTTTTCCTGGTGGACATAATTGATGACCCGAGGTGTGGAAGGAGTGGAGTAAACACGAATAAAAGATCGAGATTATCGTATCACCTAAAAACGAGAAGCGAAAAAATATATCATATTCCCTCACGTAATAGTCTATCTGTCTTGCCAAACAAACCATGACACGTGTTATATACCGTCAAAGTTTTATTTCCTTCTCTTTGTCTCTGTCTGTCTCTCTCCGCAAGTGCACGCGCGTGTGAGGATGGGGAAGATTGCGTGTATATGGATTTAGAGTGTTTGTATCCGTCGTTCGCAGCAGTTCTTCGCACTTCATCAGCATTTGATGTTACGCTCAATAACAGAAAAGGCATTCCTGTATGACAACCATACTTTAGAATAAGTTACATACATCATTATCTAAGTTTACATATTTAGAGACTAATGATATCAGAAAGATGTTCAAATGTTGCATTAATTCATCATGCATTAAATTAGAAATTTTGAAATGCCGGTAAATGTCTTTCTTACGATTTCTTAATTATCAATCTTAGTCTCGAGATGAACTTCAAAATATGACTCTCGATTGAATGTAAATAATCATAATATGAATCAGATCCAATATAACTTCAGTTCTTATTATAAACATTTTGACTGATGACTTCTTGCTACTGGAATTTACAGTAAATTCTGGCATTTAGGAACTCTTGAGTCATCGCTACGTGATGACCGAATGCAGTAACACCACATCTGCAATACATGTCACATCCTTTCACCTCAACGCTGCCGCTGATCCGCCAGAAATATCAAGTGATATGCAACTCAGTTCAACTCAGATTATTGTTTCACTTGCGGACTTGCAACTCTGTTCAGGAATATTGCTTGATGATTGTTCCACTTGCGAGAGTCTTTTCATTGTCATCAGTATCATGGGTATTATAATTAAAATTTATATATACATGGAAGGCAAGCAACATCTTCATTTAACATTTCTGTATACCTCCAATACGTTGCATAACTGTAAAAAAAAAAGTCATCGGTTAAAATGTCATATGCCTAACAAAAGACTAAAGAGTAAACTACCACAAAACGACCATTATGAGTTCGATTTTTCAATGATCACCTTAAAAGTCCCCCTCCCTCTCTGTAGCATTTTCTTCACCTCTTAAACGGTATATTCGGTACTTGATCACAACAAATGGTTATGTTCGTCTTATAATTGTTTTTGTTATAGACCAGCGGTTCCCAAACTTTTGCTAGTTACCCAGTTTCTATATAGGTACCTTGACCATGGCCCGCCG